CAGTTTTGATGTGGTATAATACAGTTCAAACCTTTTCTGGTGAGCTGTCACTGATCTTGAGCTAAAAAAATAAGGGAAAGGTCGCTTCCAAGTTCCCAGGAACTTCAGACAATATGGGCCAGGGATATGTAATTAATACACATAGGGGAAAACAAATGGCAGAGATGAGGATCTGACTAAAGCCTGGGAAACTAAGCACAGTTTGTACAGTTCAAGTTGATTTCTGAGTGAGAGCAGCTGAGATGATCCTTAATGAATAACAGGTGTGTTTGACTGGGCAGGCATGGGAGCTGAGAAGAAACTATGGCCATGGACATGCTAAATCACAACAAACTAAATGTACCAGATGAATTAAAGAGACCGAAAAAATATATAGAATATCTTATAAGCCAAAAAAGAAACATACACACTGATATATATATACACAGATGCTGGTCATAAAATTAGAATATCATGAAAAAGTTGATTTAGTTCAGTAATTCCATTCAAAAAGGGAATCTTGTCTATTATATTCATTGTGATTACACACAGACTGATATTTAAAATGTTTATTTCTTTTAATGTTGCTGATTATCACTGACAACTAATGAAAACCCCAAATTCAGCATCTCAGAAAATTAGAATATTGTGAACAGGTTCAATACAGAAGACACCTGGTGCCACACTCTAATCAGTTAATTAACTCAAAACCTTTGCAAAGGCCTTTAAATAGTCTCAGTCTAGTTCTGTAGGCTACACAATCATGGGGAAGTCTGCTGACTTGACAGTTGTCCAAAGGACGACCATTGACACCTTGCACAAGGAGGGAAAGACACAAAAGATCATTGCTAAAGAAGTTGGCTGTTCACAGAGCTCTGTGTCCAAGCACATTAATAGAAATGAAGGGAAAGGAAAGATGTGGTAGAAAAACATGTACAAGCAATAGTGATAACTGCACCCTGGAAAGGATTGTGGAACAAAACCCATTCCAAATGTGGAGAAGATACACAAAGAGTGGACTGCAGCTGGAGTCAGTGCTTCAAGAACCACCACGTTCAGACGTATGCAAGACATGAGTTTCAGCTGTTGCATTCCTTGTGTCAAGCCACTTCTTGAACAAGAGACAGCGTCAGAAGCGTCTCACCTGGGCTAAAGACAAAAAGGACTGGACTGCTGCTGAATGGTCCAGTATTGTTCTCCGATTAAAGTAAATTTTGCATTTCCTTTGGAAATCAAGGTCCCAGAGTCTGGAGGAAGAGAGGAGAGGCACATAATTCACATTGCTTTAGGTCCAGTGTCAAGTTTCCACAGTCATTGATGGTTTGGGGTGCCATGTGCTGGTGTTGGTCCATTGTGTTTTCTGAGGTCCAAGGTCAACACATCCGTCTACCAGGAAGTTTTAGAGCACTTCATGCTTCCTGCTGCTGACCAACTTTATGGAGATGCAGATTTTATTTTCCAACAGGACTTGGCACCTGCACACAGTGCCAAAGCTACCAGTACCTGGTTTAAGGACCTGTTCTTAATTGGCCATCAAACTCACCTGACCCTAACCCCATTAAAAAAATCTATAGCGTGTTGTCAAGAGGAAGATGTGATACACCAGACCCCAACAATTCAGAAGAGCTGAAGGCCACTTTCAGAGCAACCTGGGCTCTCACAACACCTGAGCAGTGCCACAGACTGATCGACTCCATGCCACACCACATTGCTGCAGTAATCCAGGCAAAAAGAGCCCCAACTAAGTATTGAGTGTTGTACATGCACATACTTTTCATGTTCATACTTTTCAGTTGGCCAACATTTCTAAATATCTTTTTTTTTAATTGGTCTTAAGTAATATTCTAATTTTCTGAGATACTGAATTTGGGGTTTTCATTAGTTGTCAGTTATAATCATCAAGATTAAAAGAACTTAACATTTGAAATATTTCAGTCTGTGTGTAATGAATGAATATAATATACAAGTTTCACTTTTTGAATGGAATTTATTAAATAAATCAACTTTTTCACAATATTCTAGTTTTATGACCAGCACCTGCAAACTGCAACATACAGAAAAATAAGGATCTGCAGAAACTCAAAAGCTAACGGGAGGAACGAACCAAACCATCACAAAGTCCACAAACCTCATAACCGTGACACTCAGAACTTGAAGGCAAACCATGTTCTTATTAAAAATCTACTGATAGATAAACAACAGTTTGGATTAAAACGACCTTACTCAGGTTGAGGTTATTCATCACAACAAAGAACAAGTTCTCCAACTCTGAAAGAGCATGAATTCTGAATGACGCTAATGTTTACTGTTCAGCCTTCTTCACTGGACCATCTGTGTCTTTTGGATAATTTTTGAGGAAGTTTTTTTTTCTTTTCATTGCAACTTCAGAGCACGTGCGTGCTGGTCCCTTAGGGATATCACATGTTGAAACTCCAAATGCTCAAGTCACTCCAGCAGCATCCCTTGTCTTCTTCTCCTGCTGCACTCGGAGTCCTCAATAGACCACATCTCTTCAGTCGGGTGGGGAGGCGAGCCTTAGAGGAGAGGCCTCTGGACAAAAGGTTCTGCGGGCCCAGATGGCTGGCTCTGAGAGCACCATTAGACCAGAACCCACTCATACAGAATGAGACTTTAATGCAAAGACTTCTTTTGTGCTGATAATATTTTGTTGTTTTCTGCAATATTTACAACAATCGAAAAATGTATGACGACTCCATAAATAAATCAATTTATATTCATTTCAACAGAGAAATGTGCAATTTTATTATTTCCTGCCATAGAAGGCGCAGGCAGAGCAATAATATGTATGTGGGAGGGACGGAGGTGGGGTGGGGTCATTTAAAATGTTAGAAAATAATCTTCAAATAAAAATCTATAACTGATTAACTTGAAGTCAATCCGATTCAAGATGGCTGCCACAGCCGACTGACCTTAAAAACTTAAAAATTGCTATAAATTAGTCATTTTTCAAATATTAAGCTAGACTTTGGGGTGGTAGTAGTTAAGCATTGGTCCCAACACATACTTCAAGCACCATATGGTGTCAAACATCTTTTCTTAAGCATTACCTCTAGAAGTCAGTCAACTCCATATGTTAGCAAAATATATTATGAACCAATGAATGGATTTAAATCAAACTCAGAAAATAATTTGATGTACATTTACTTTGTACATTAGGGTTGGACATTATTGGATTTTTGGATGATAAATTTTTCCAAAAATGTATTTTTTAATTTATCTGTTTTTTTTGTTTTTTTTTACATGGGCACCGGTGACCCCCGTGACCCAAAATGGAAGAAGCGGGTAAAAGATAATGGATGGATATATATATATATATATATATATACACACACATACACACAGCACCTTTTATATCCGTGAGTTATTTTGATGGAAAGGCCAATCTCCGATATTTAACTTTATCACTAATATCGGCCGATACCGATATCATGCCGATAATATTGTGCATACCTAGTCTTCAACTAATTAACTTTTGGAGTCACTCTAAAATTTGCAGACATCTAAAAGATCACGCATGAGGTTGTGATTTGTATTATTTTCAAGGTTCACCCTAAATACCTGCTGGATAACTCCAATAATTTTCAACATAAAATGATCTTAGTTTAAAACTTTGGCATAATGGTATTCATTCCTTCAAGGAGTGCTAGGTCTTTAATTGATTATGAGGCGTTATCAATGCTGAGAATTATTCTCTACTTTATTTCAATAGACCAATGATAAATATCACGTCTGTGTGAAAGCATCATCACAATATGGCCACCGTGACGATGGCCAGGCACATTTCATTAATGGAAACCAGACTCCAACCCATTTATCTGTCCTCCATCAACTTCGTTTCAGTTTAGATCCTGGCCAAAATCCGACGACAAGTTCTGGCGCTCAGAATAAAGAGACAGAGGAACGACTTTGTACTGCTAATCTCACACAAATCACTTCTTCATCTGTATTTTGTTGCGTTATTACAAGAAAACTGAGCACGTGTCTGAGAGAGAATGCTCTGCCCACGTGTCTTTAGAGACAACTGCTCCCATACTCGAGTCCTGCAGAGACCAAGGTGAAAGTGTAAACACGAAGCGAGGAAACGACGTTCGTCTTTCTGTTATCTGGCTATCTGCAGGATTGGAAGAACTAAATATTATGACACTTGATATGACTGAGCGTACCTGCTGGTTACATTTTAGAAGATCGGTGCTGAGGCAAGGTGGTTTATGTCTTGTAGTATCACCGCTGTCCTCAAAGTCCCTGTCTTTGTCTCCCTGAAGTTCTTTCTTCGTAACTGTCGCCCTTCTCTAAACTCTTATGTAATTGTGAGAAAATCAAAAGAGGCTGAGCTGCATCTGTTTTGGTCCACACACACACACACGTGCGTGTGTGCAGATTTTTGGACACTGATTAACAAGAAGATGAAAAGTAATTGATGCGTTTGTAACAACTGGTCGTTTAGCTCGGTGAGCTGCTGCTGTTTGTAAATCATTGGAGGTATAAAAACGTTAAGATGAGACACATAGAAGGCAACACAGATGAAGTGAGAGAAAGAGAGAGAGCAGGACTCATCTGTTACAAATGTTGCACATGAGTTAGACTATGTTGCGATTAGCACGCTCTCTCAGATGGGTGTTCATCTCAATCTGCAGCACAATATCCTCAGGTCTGAACCCATGGATGACGGTCACTTGCCAGAAGACAACTTTTTTTTTTCTGTCTCTCTCTCTGTTTTTAATACTTCCTTCTTGGGCAGAAGGCTGGCGTAATAGGAACCAGACGCGAGCCAGTATGTGAGGCATCCACTGCGATGAGACTTCACGTCTTTGCAGTGCGAGAAAACAGGATTTAGAACGAAATTCTGCCTTGATAAGTTCAGTTGCTACTTTAGTTTGTGTTGATGTGGAAGTTTTTCAAAAGGATTGAGGATGCCAGTGGATTAGACGAGAGGTGGCTTTCCATGGATCAGAATGTGCAGGAAATGGAAAGGGAGGGCAAAGGAGAACTTGAGAATGGGAAATACATGTTCATCTTTTCCAGGTGAGTTCTTTGGATAATTCTCCTAAATGTAATGAATAATTCAAACTATTTTTTTTTTTTACATTAGAATTATTTTTGTCAGAAGACATGTTTTTAATGAAGCTGCTAAGCGTATTCTTCAATAAATTGCATTTATTGTTTTAAAATGTTGAGCAAAAAAAAATAAAGAAAACAGAATGGAAACTGTAGTTTTTATGTCCTGTTATAGTAAAAGTTTCTTTGCACAGTATTTACTGAACTCATTTTTATTATACTTCTAAACTCAATGGAGAATACATTCTACCCACAAGGTAGACTCATATTTTACATATATATATTAATTCCTAAAATTTGCCAGGTCCATTAATGGTGTTATCAATGCTTTAAAAAATGTTTTTTCCGTAAAACTTTGTCCAGAGAATGAAAATTTATTTAGGTATCACTATAAGGCTCCCCTTATAGATGGCTAATGAATAGTTTATAGATATGTTATTAATTATACTGTAAACACTTTATAAGTCATTAATAATTGTTTATTATGCATTAATTAAAGGCGACAGAGACAAAACTGACCAGTTTCTTGCCAAATAGTGAGCCAAATCTATTCATCTATATTTTTTTTATTTAGAATTGTTATATTAAACATTTCAGACTAAGTTACTACCTTGTAAGCACAATAACCAGTTTTAAAACTAATTATTTTAGGGTATTTTATTAGTTGTAGATACTTATAATGCAGTGATAAAGTACAATATTATATGCTAAAGAAATAGGTTTACAAATGCCTATTGTGCTTACAAGGTAGTAACTTAGTCTGAAATGTTTAATATAATAACTCTGGATGAAAAATATAATTGAACAGATTTGGATCACCATTTGGCAAGAGACTGGTCAGTTTGATATCTCTGTCACCCTTATTTAATGCAGTTATTAATGATTTTTTAAAGTGTTTAAAGATGAATTAATAACATATCTATATTTATGAGCCATATATGAGGGGAGCCTTGTTGTAAAATGGTACCTTAATTTATAATGCACCAGGCTTTTGCTATAATGCAATGTTGTGAAAAAAAAAAATTCAACTACATTTTTATTCCCAATAGATTTACTTTAATATTGTACTTATATCATTAACATTTCAAACATGTTCTAAAATGTTCTAATGTTTTCATCATTTTTTTTCATATTTATTTCAGGTAAAGTTGACATTATTGTGTTCTTAGACCATTTGTGTGAATTGATTTTACCACTCAGTCTGTTCACACATGCATGTTTACCTTTATTAAAACATTTTTTACTGAATGTCATGAGTTACACAGATCTAGCTTTTGCTTTGATGAGACTCTAGTCATAACAGCTCTTCTGTAAATTGACCCGAAAGGTTGTGAAACAGCAAAAACCTGAGTTGTCTTTGTACAACTTGGGTAAATGCTGTGATCCAAAACCATTTAAATCAAATTTAAGTCAGCAGAGAATTGACCCTGTGTCTTTCCTTCTGCTTTGACATCCTGGCACCGTTAGTGCCATCTGCCTCTGAGCATCCGTACCTCTCCCCGGCTTCTGCAGGACTGGATCTGGAGGGGAGGCCTTGTGGCGGAGCAACAAGCCTCTCCTGTTCGCTCAGAGGGGATGACACATCGCACGCCGAGGAGTACAGTATCACGGTTATGAGATCAACTTGAACTCTGCAGCTCTGGACAGTGAATGAAAGTGCTAAGCTGTCTTCTCACTGCGGCGTCGATTGCTTCACAGGATCTGTAGTGACGCTGCTGTGAGCAGAGTATGACCCTGAGATCTTATGTCATCATTTTTTTTTTTTTTTCTTGTTCATGACTGCTGGCTTGTGTTGAAGCAGAGAATGTCTCTGAAGTGGCCCACTGGCTGAAGCAGCACAAATGAGAATTTTGAAGATCTGCTACTTTTCAGTCTTTCGTTCTTCTGTATTGCCTGGTGTTCTTAATTTTAACAATGTCAACGACTGTTGGGTGTTGCCCTATGAGCTGCGTTCGCTTTGCCCTCTAATCTTCTCTTCCTTATTTTGTGTCATTTTCTTTTATGTCACAGTGTAACCAGAGAAAACAGAGCTCTCTTGTATTCCAGTCAAGCCTGTTACAGTGAAATTCAAATATGCTGAATGTTTGGGATGTTTTAGAAAGCAACAAATGAGAAAAATGCATTCTCATCCACATTATCCCTTTTTTTTAAAGTTAATAATTTCCATGAAACACGGACTGGTTGATTACACTATTTTGAAAAAGGATGGCAGATTTCCTAAAGGTCTGCACCACATTAGAGCTTGAAGAACCTAAAATGGTTTCCTGGTGGACTGAAATAAACTAGCAATCATGACATAAATAACCAGATGTGCTTCTCAGATGTGAATGTTTGCTTCTTTGATGGCGAATTGGATATTTGATTGTTTAGAGTGGGTGTGGGGACATTTAGTGATGCCCTGGATTCTGGGGAGCTTTCATCCTTGTTTTGTATTGTTACAGAGAAATAACTAATTAATAAAAGTATCTAGAATAGTTTGAACACACAATTGGAATGGTACCTCCATGAAACAAATACATTTTGCAATGATTCCTGGCATTAAACTACCAAATATGTAAAAGTCTTAAATTATTTTTGCCCAGATCCCTACAGAGATTAAATATGTATAATTGATCTATTTTTACAGATTCTAGTTGAAAATCCTAAAGAGTCCAACATGAGCTGGAGCTTTCTCACACGTCTTCTGGAGGAGATCCACAACCACTCCACCTTTGTGGGGAAAGTGTGGCTGACGGTGCTCATCATCTTTCGGATCGTGCTCACAGCAGTCGGGGGCGAGTCCATCTACTCAGATGAGCAGACCAAGTTCACCTGCAACACCAAGCAGCCGGGCTGTGACAACGTGTGCTACGACGCCTTCGCTCCCCTCTCGCATGTTCGCTTCTGGGTCTTCCAGATCATCATGATCTCCACTCCCTCCATCATGTACATGGGTTATGCCATCCACAAGATAGCTCGCAGTTCAGAGGAGGAAAGCAGGAAGCACCTAAGACTCCGCAGAAAGCCGCATCCACACACAAGATGGAGAGAAAGCCGCCATCTGGAGGGTGGCTTGGAGGGGGAGGAAGATGACGATGCTGAGCCCATGATCTATGAGGAAACGCGGGAGGCGCAGGAGGCCAAACCTGAGCCAGCGAACAGCGTTAATAAAGATCTACCAAAACATGAAGGCCGCAGAAAAATTATGCAACAAGGCCTGATGAGAATTTATGTTCTCCAGCTTATGTCACGAGCGATATTTGAAATTGCTTTCCTTGCTGGACAATACCTCCTCTATGGTTTTCGAGTTAATCCCTCATACGTGTGCAACAGGGTACCCTGTCCACACAGAGTGGACTGTTTCATCTCCAGACCCACAGAGAAGACTATCTTCCTTCTAATTATGTATGTAGTGAGCTGTCTTTGTCTTGTGCTAAATGTGTGTGAGATGCTTCACTTGGGAATTGGCACGTTTCGGGACACTCTTCATGCAAAAAAGAACCATGGTCGACGCTCTATGTCTTACGGCTATCCATTTTCTCGCAACCTCACAGCCTCGCCACCTGGGTACAATCTTGTGGTGAAAACAGACGAACCTAGTCGGATCCCTAACAGCCTCATCACCCATGAGCAAAACATGGCCAACGTGGCCCAGGAGCAGCAGTGCACCAGCCCAGATGAAAACATCCCGTCCGACCTCGCCAGCCTGCATCGGCACCTGCGGGTTGCACAGGAGCAGCTCGATTTGGCCTTTCAAACGTATCAAACCAAAACCAACCAAGAAACCTCGAGAACCAGCAGTCCTGTTTCTGGGGGCACGATGGCAGAGCAAAACCGAGCCAATACAGTCCAGGAAAAACAAGGGGCGAGGCCGAGATCAGCCACGGATAAAGCTGCAACTATTGTGAAAAATGTAAAGACTTCTGTGTGGATTTAAGAATAAATTTGTTCCAATGAACTGAATACTATTTGATGTATCCTGAACTGCACAGATGAGAAAGATTCAACTTTGGACAAAACCAATTGAGATTTTATTCAGCTGCAGAAATAACATACAATGAAGAAAATCTCCAGGTATACCTGAAAAAAAAAAAAACACACACACACAAAGGTGAAATGTACTGTCACAGTATGTTATTGTAATAAGTCACTATAGATATTGGATTTAGTTAACATATACTTGCTTAGTTTAGCATCATGATTTACAGCTCAAATATCAAGACAACCTATAAAGTACAACAGAAAAGGGATTCATTTTGAGGTTGAACATAAAGTGTGCAATTGTATTCTTAAAACTGTTTTGGGTAAAACCCTTGCACTTTGACTAGTTTCTTAAAAATGTCAGCTATTGATGAAAAGATGCATGTTTTATATTTGAAGAAGTATTTTTGTGTGTAGAAGAAAGTTAAATGTGAAATATTTTTATAACAAAAATGAGACAGGGCTGTGTCAGTGAAAGCTTTTTCTGGTGAACTTCTGCCCCTTTTCGAAAAAGTTCAAGACAAAAACAACTGGACTTTATTTTGTAACTGAAGACGTTTCGCTTCTCATCCGAGGAGCTTTCTCACTTCAAAGAAGAGAGTGTGGGGTTCGAGTTATAAAGCTGAGGTAAGCTACATACATATGCAGATTGCCCTGTCACTGCTCACAATAGGGGATTGTTAGGGTCTTTGTTGACTCACAGTGGAGTCACTCTGGTCACATGCATGAAATTCCTGATGGGTGTGAAAATGACTGGGTATCAGTCCTAAAGCTGCATTATAAGTTTTTGAAAGTTAAAATATCAGAGTCAGAGTCAGAGTCAGAGTTTCTTTATTGTCATTCGCACCTCATGTGGTACATGTGGTGGAGCGAAATTATGTACACAGGGTCCCAGTTACATCCAACAATAAAATGTATAAGAAAAACAGTAATAACATCTAAGATATGAACTAAGAAAAACATCAACTAAATATACACTAAGCACTCATAACATAAAACATTGAACATCACCACAAACATGAACATGAGTCTGTGAGCAGATGTGCACGCATGAACACATCAACATTGAAACAGATCAGCAGCAACATGAAACAGATCAGCAGCAACATGATATGGTTTTTCACAGTGATTATTCTAGTTAGAGATTCATGAGTCTAACAGCCTCAGGGTAGAAGCTGTTCCTCAGTCTAGTGGTTCTACACTTAATGCTCCTTAACCTCCTTCCTGAGGGGAGTGGGGCAAAAAGTGTGTGTGCTGGGTGGGTGGGGTCCTTCATGATGCAGGTAGCCCTCTTCCTGCATCTGGAGGTGTAGATGTCTGTGATGGTGGGGAGACTGACTCCAACAGATTTCTATATGATATATTTATATATGAGACCTCCTCCTCTGTTTAAAGATGGCTTCTCTCATTTTACATAAATAGCTTCCTTCAACCCCTCTCAAACCATCTGTCTTCTCAGTCCAAAATGTAAACATTTGTTCTTCAAATGAGTGTCCCTTATCCTTGAGGTGTAGGTGAACAGTCCTGAAGATCTGGCTCTCCTGTGTTGAGTCCAGTTGTGTTTGTCTTGAACATTTTTTTATTTAATGTCCTGGATGACTGAGAATCTTCACCAGCGTTCTGCACCTTTGATCAAAGCTCCAAAACCTCACAATGTCATATAAGTGCAGTGAGTTAATTGAAAATCTGACTACCAGTACTTTTTTCAGCTAAATTTCTGTGAGCAATTTATGTATCATTTACAAATAGGTGACAGGAAAACTAGTAAAATCACCAGTGAATGGATAATATTAGATATTTTACTAAACTCATATGTTTGGCTTTCTATGAAAAGTTTGTTCTTTTCTTTTCCTAAAGCATTTCATTTCTAAAAGTGGTTGCTATAAGTGTTAAGTATAATCCACCCTTCAATGCTTTCAAATTTCAAAGTGCCTAAAACTTTTAAAAACTGCTCTGCTATTTCATTTATTAAAAAAAGAAGTCTTTTTTTTTCAGACCATTAATCATCTTTTGTTTCTAACCACAGCTATTTAAAACAAACATACTAAATTTTAGAAAGAAAATACCTTCATGTTATTGCAGTGAAAGTACAGGAAGGAAAATTGGTTGTACAGTCCTTCACAATATTTAGAATGGAAAAGAGTAAAATAGTATTTTGAAATATACAGCTCGTATTTCAAAATTTCAATTAGAATTATTTTTTTCATTATTGAAACATAATAATGTGACAGAAGACTAACAAGTGATACAAGCTCATTCTGATGTTCCAAATGTTTAACAAAAAAGGTTAAATCATGTCAGGATTTAACTTTTTAGGTTTTTATCTACCTGCATAATTGAGCTCACAAACCTTTTTTTAACCAGATGTTTAGTGACAAACAACTGCTAATCATGGTATGTAGTATTAAACCAGTTAAGTTTTTTGTAGATGCACTCAATTCTAATGTCCTTAACATGCAATAAATGATCATGATACTCATTTAAAGTCAATCAACATGTCAAAAGTTTATTTTTTGAATCAGTGCAACACCCTGTTCATCTGCAAGTTCAGTATCAAACAGGGGTTTGTTCAGTCTTTAGGAGTGTATACTATGCAACAATTTAATGAACTTTTTTTTTTTATTAGATCAATAAAATATTGAAATGATTGGTGTCAAGAGTTATTTATTTGGGTTCGATCATTCTTGATCCTTGATTGATGACATTTTGCATCATCTTTGCATGCATATAAACCTTAAGGATGAGTCTGCCATTAAAATACAAACAGACAAACTATGACTGCAGACATCACAATAAATAAATAACATTATGGAAAATATGTATCCAATTGTCTTTTGTGTGGATCATCCTCCTCCATCTCACTCTGTCCTCTACATCCTCTGTCCTCACTGTGTGTGCAACATGCCGTGTTATAAAGGCAACAGCTCAGATAATTTACTAATAATTTAAACATGGGGTAAAAATACAGAAGAGGATTACGGAACACAATTTGAACCATTGTAGATCTTTTTTTCTTCTTCCAGAATTCTGACTTTTTCTCAGAATTTTGAGATCGTAAGAATTCTGAGATTAAAGTTTGAATTTCAGGATTCTATTTATATTTATTTATTTATTTAAGTAAGAATTATGACAGCATGTTGAATTTAATCCCAGACTTCTAAGTAAAAAAAACATTTTAATTCTGTTTAGAACTCCGAGAAGATTTTTTTAGACTTCTGAGAATAAAGTCAGAATTCAGACTTTAACAATTACTACCAATTCTGACATTACCCTGTGTTCCTCAAAATAATAAATAAATAAGTAAATAAGTAAAGAAATAAAGAAAGACTGCAGTTTTCCCGCCCACATAAAGATAAACATGCTCACGTCACGTGATCTTTTATTTTCGAGCAATGCATTATGGGACATTAAAATGGATCCCTCCGTGCGGGTTGAAGTTGTTTTGGTTCCAGTAATGTAGTCCTCCGCGGTTGAGTTTGAGGGAGAAGCCGCTCAGTTTGGACTGAAGACACTCCTGTATCTCTGTAGAACATGGGGCTCCTGTGCTTCGTCCGGGGAACGCTCACAGCTCTCGGTGTTCATGCCAGAAAACACGTCGGTGTGTTCGGGACGCTGCCTCCGAGTCTGTCCGGAGCTCCGGCGGAGATGAAAAGGTACAGCCAGGACACGGGTAAAGATGTCCCGGGGCAGTTCGTATGCTTTCAGCTTCCACACAGGACCGTGCTTAAGGTTCAGGGCCCGGATACAAGTCCGTTTCTTCAGGGGCTTCTCACCAATGACATGGCGCTGCTGGAAGAGCCCGAACCTGCAGCCATTTACGCCCATATGCTGAATGTGCAGGGAAGAACACTGTATGACCTCCTGTTGTACAGGTGAGATTTCTATTTGATTTTTTTATTTAAGTTGTTTAAATTAAGTTAGTAGAGCTGCCGCCTCTCAGTGAGAAGGTTGCCAGATCAAATCCGGATCAAGGACCTTTCTGTTCTGTGCATGCGTGACTTTTCTCCAGGTCTTCCCACAGACCAAAAACACGCGTGCCTTTGTGTCCTGCGTGTCCCCTGTGTTTTGCACAGTTACTGCTGGATATGGGCACCGGTGACACAGAAAGGAAGAATGAATAAAGATGATGGATGTTTTCAAATCTCTTCCCTCAGTTGTTGTTGTTTTTAGTTGAATAAATGGACCTAAATACCTGATAAATGTTAGACATCAAATCATTGTCAAGCCCATTGAATCAAGTTTGCATTGAACATATTGTAGTAGGCATTTAACATTATTTATTTACTTTTATTTAGACAAGTAATGCCGTTGAGAAAGGCAATCTCATTTACAAGCGAGGCCTGTAACACAGACACAAACAAATCAGTTACAGTACATGAAATAACAAAACATTTGTAAAACATTATGTTGAGGGTTAAAAGGGAGCAGCAGAGGTCTGAAACAATGATTTCTCCATTTACTTTAAAATGTGTTTAAAATGTCCCAGAGGGCTCAAACTGGACAGTTTCAGATCTTGTTGCAGTGTATTCCAGGATGATGGAGCAGAATAGGAGGCCTTTTTTCAAGTTCTGTGGGAACTAAGGGGGCACTGAAAGAAATAAAATCCTGGGAACGTAGGTGGTGACTGGACTGTTATTTAAGGGTGCACCGATTGCAGTTTCCTGGCCGATCACTGATCTTTAAAAAGTCCGACCTGCCAATTCTGATTTTGGCCGATACCGATTTTGTTTTATAAGCGACACTGTCCGGTGTTGTAAGGTCACAATGCACCTTTAATTTTCCAATATTATTTTATTGACACCCTTGAACAATATCCTAGAAACAATACAAACTTGTTTTAACTGGCCATGAGGCAGTGCTCTGAAATATAAATGAAGTTTAGACGATTGTTAAAACTACACAAAAATCTGTTTCTCATTTAAGTATCAGCCGGTCTCCTATTTCCCAAAATTAAGGAAATCGAGGCCGATAAATCGATGCACCCCTACTGTTATTGTGACATCAGGAGTCAGCAGGCTGAAGATGAATTTGTAAATGAAAGTGTACCAGTGTTGTTTTCAGTATAAGAAGCAGGTTAAGATGTCAATCATATACAGGAAAGCAGAGAAATGTGCACTCTAGACTTTTGATTGTTGGGGGAGGAGAACCAAAAGAAAACCCACTGTCGCACAGATTTCTGCATTTTTATGTGCTCACTGCCCCTTGAGGACTTTGCAGCCATCCAGTCTCCTGGTGGCCCGTTCTGTCCATTTCAGATCTTTTTTTTTTATTCATTTTGTCTTTGATGCTTTTGTTTTGGTACGTTTAATTCCATCAGTCTTGTTGAAAGACATTAAATAACATTAGATTGTATTTTAAAGAGCTCAAAGTTTTGATCACAACGACCTTTATGAAGACTTTTTAAATTACTTGCTGACAAAATGATTATTATTATTATTTTAAACATGTTTTGTTAGAGACAGTCTTAATATTAAATAGGCAAAGACTTGGAAAAAAGTTTGGAACTTGATACTAAATCAAGATAAAATGAAAGTGTTTGGGATCCTCTCATTGTCTTTCAACTAAGCCCAAGGTGACTTTATTGTCATCCGCATGTGGTACATGAGGTGGAACAGAATTGTGTACTCAAGGACCCTTGCTCCCCAAAATTGAAATAATTTAGAGTATATAAAAAACATTAACTAAAGTTAGTGTTTTGATTGTTTTGTTGTTTTATGTTTTTGGTGAGGTTAAACATAATTTATTAGTCGCTGTATTTTGAAACAAGAAATATTAACCATTACTGCAAATGTCAGATGTAAAGCAAGAGGCTCCCAACACTTTGGACCTTTTGCTTCTGTGCAAACATCTCAGTCAGTCAGAGATCTAAGAATACTCAACGTGGATCATTGCAAAAACTTGTCAGATATCACAAGATTTTGAGTCTTATTTTGCTAAGCAACCATCTGTAAACACCTTTTAATTTATTAGTTTACACCTGCTGGTGGTGTTTTTTTTATAGCATGATTACATATTGCTGAGTTTTTATAATAGTTCTTTGTTTCATAATATATTTAAGTGGTGGCTGAGTGGTTAGAGCAGTCGTCCTCCAATGCAAGAGTTGGGAGTTCGATTCCACCAGCAGTTACAGCAGCTGAATTGTCACTGGGCAAGACACTGAACACCTCATTGCCTCCGATGTGTGTCCCATCGGTGTATGAAAGTGATATATCACTGATTACTAGAACTATACAAAGAATAGAGTGCTGTATGAATGCGTAAATGAGGGCACAGCTTGTAGTGTAAAGCGCTTTGAGTATCTTCATAAGATAGAAAGGCGTTATACAAGTACAGTCCATTTACCATTTTGTTGTTTTCATTACATTGTAAATAACACAAAATGCTAAATGGTTCATCATGTTGATGTGTAGTTACAAGCAAGACTAGTATTTGGAAGTAAAATACTTCCTTCTTGTAAGAATTATGTTACAGGAAATGCAGAAATCTGAAACTGCAAGTCTTATGCACATGATTATCAACATTATGTCCATCAATCCATCCATGCTTTAAATGATCTTAATAACATCATCCCCTGCATTTAGAAGTAAAATTAGACCATGTGATTATTTGCAGTTTGCTGAATACGTGTCTCCCACTATGATTACACCCAAACAAAATGGCTCCCAGTGTTGCATTTTTTTTTTTTACTTCCTTTTTCATGAGGTACTCGATTTACTCTTATTTTGTTCCAGACTGAAAGACGATGGTGGCGTACACAGCGTTTTCCTGGAGTGTGACAGCACAGTTACAGAGGCAGTTATAAAACACTTGAAGGTTTACAAGATCCGTAGAAAGGTCAACGTCAGCCCCTGTCCAGAGCTCTCTGTATGGGCAGTGCTTTCCAAGCAGATCAGCACAAGTCAGCAGCCCAGTAAACCCGAGCTTTCTGCCCCGGAAAAAGCTTTGGTATGGGAGGCTGACCCTCGAAGCACGCAAATGGGGTGGAGATTGGTGCTGCAGAGTCATGTTGACCCGTTGGACATCGTTGCATGTTGTCAGAAAGGAGACACTGAGGACTACCACCGGCATCGCTATGCAATAGGTATGACTTAAGTGGCAGTGGACTGTTTTTATTACATGAGAGTAAATGGTGTGGAAAGTTTGGAGCATGTGCGCTAGAACTTTTGTGACAAGTTCTGTTCGTTTTTCTTTTCTGTCGTCGTCTAGGACTTCCTGAGGGAGTGAAGGACCTTCCTCCTGGAGTGGCGCTACCACTGGAGTCAAACCTCGTCTACATGCAGGGTATCAGCTTTAGCAAGGGCTGTTACATCGGCCAGGAGCTCACAGCCAGGACTCATCACACTGGGGTGATTCGAAAGCGCCTCATGCCAGTACGATTGTCATCTGCAGTCCAACACCACGAGGAGGGAGCCGCCTTGCAGACGCAGTCGGGCAAGCCAGCTGGGAAGCACAGGGCAGGGGTTGGTGAGCTGGGGCTGAGCCTAATTCGCATGGCACACGCCAAAGAAGTGTTGACACTCAAATCTTCCGACGACACCACGGTGACACTTGAAGCCTCTGTGCCAGACTGGTGGCCTAAGGATGTGAAAATTAACTGAAGATGGGGTGTTTTGTAGCTCTTTGAAATGTGACATGCATCACATCAGACAGATTTTTGATTGACAGAACCCTGAAGGACTGGATGTTACATTGCCATTGCTTTACATGTGTTGTCTGTACTAAACCCCGTTTTGGCTTGATTTTGTTGTTATTTATCACAAAGCTATGCTTTCCCACAGTCGTTTATTAAATAATACATCAAGTATTAAGTGACATTTGTGGTTATTTAAAATATATGAAAAATGGTAACTTTAACATTTTTGTATGTGTATGCATGTAGACAGTTTTTTATTTATTTATTACATGTATTTATTGTTTGCATTGCAAAAGCAAACACCAGACATTCAAAACTGAAAACAATCTCAAGCTTTTATCGTGTTTACTAAAATTGCCAGTGTCATTCAAGCTCATCCCAGGAGAGAACACTGCAGATGGTGGGGACACATTATTCTTGATAAAGGAGATGCTGCCCTCTTGTGGACTGTATGGTGTCTCGGATTCGCAGCAACATGGCCTCCGGCTGCAAAGCCAACGTTGAACGATCGAGCCGCTTGAAGTCTTCATTGCACAAGAGGCATTCGATAACATGAGCCACTCTTTGAAGGTCAAAAGCTGCATGATAAGGTCCTAGTGTGCTCAGAGTTTCGGTGAGATTTCGTGAGTAATCGGAGGAGTCGCCGGAAAAACAAGCGTTCAGAAACGCCATTCGATTTTCAGCGATGATTTTCAAGAATGAAGCAAATTCCCCATAATCAATCCCAGAACATGCTTTCATGATGACCTGAAAGAAAAATACCTAAAAATTACTACATTGTACAGATTTATTCCTGCGACATGCTGAGTGAACGACCTCGTGCACAGTACCTGACAGTGCTGATGCCATGAATCCATTGTGTTTCTCCATTCATCTATCTCTTTTTGAACAGAGGACAGCTCGTTCTGTAGGAACTGCCACATGATGTCAACGTTGCAGCCATTCAGCCAATTGTGATTAATTGAAATGGTGTCTTCCTAGGAAGTAAAAAAAAAAAAAAAAAACAGGACCACAAACTCAATCATCTCTGATCTATAAAACAGTATAATTAAGCTGACTAATTTGCTCCAGCTCAACTTGCCAGTTCTCACCAGATTATAAACTTGATGGTGCCAGCCACTTGGCACAAAAATGATTTCGCCTGCCTCTTGAATAATTTCAAGAGGTTGGCATGCTTCTTCAAACTGTGGGAAATGGCTTCTGTCTTGAAGTTCAGCTGACGTTACGTCATATGGGAGGTTACCATGAGTGTCTCGTAAAAAGTCTTCCTGACCCGGAGGATAAAGCAGCCACTTCTTTCTGCCACAGATGTTTGCAGACCAGCTGTACGAGCGGAACACATCAGCATGGAACGGAGTCCTAAACACAACAAACAGGCATTGTATTGCATGAAAATCTAACTTTAATATACAAAGTAAGTTATTACCAATAGTGTGTTTTAACTTTTTCATACCATGAACCTTTGGGTCCCATGTAAACAAACCGGTAGTCATCAACTTCAAGTGTATCCCAATATTCATTAAGCCAGTCCGATGAAAAGTAAACAGGTGTGATGTAAACATTATGTTCTGGAAAGTCCCTATGGAATAACAAAACATAACTACATCATACTTACAATTAGTTAAAATGTGATGCATTGAAGAAATAAAGAGTAATCTGAACACTTTGGGATTAATTTGTTAAAAATCCTGCAGCTGCCCAAAACAATGGTGCAGCTACAATATTTATTTTCCACACATTTCTCAATGTTTCAAAACAGGATCAAGAAAACATATGTTGTTTTGAATATTAAGCATTTACAAGACAACAAATTACTTGAACAGAAATGGTGATGGTCCAAACTACAAGTTTAATTTCTATATGCTTTTACACAAAATACCATATTTTTTGTGCAACGTTTTGAAACTATTGTTTTTTTTGTTTTTTTTATTCAAAACTGTTTTGGTTTCGATTTTTGGCATCCTAAAAAGTAAAGAAAATTTACTTACAATGTAAAACTTATTTTCTGTGAACAAATTTTGAAAAAAATAATACAACTTTATAGTACGGTACGTTAATTTTAATTTTGACATTTAAAACGGACTTTTTTTTTTTTATCCTTGCTAAATCTTGTTGGTATAAACCGTTGTGTATTTTCCTTTTGTTTAACATTTAGAGAAAAAAAAATAAAGTTTGTTGCAACTTTCAAAAGCTGCATCAAATAATTAAATCAAATGAGCTTTGGCAATAAAACTAGAATCATAATACACTTTTTTTTCCACAGCTTTGGGCTGATCATCTTGTTTCTACATATCCTTGACATGTTCATCATAAGGTGTTGTTTTTGTACCTTGTGCATTTCACAAAGATATTTATCCAGTAAATGATACCTTGACATATGCCAGTCTTTCAGATAGAGGCATCCTTTGGGTGATGAGTGTCCATTCTGGATGTATTCCTTCCAGTACTGTATAAATTCTTTAAATGGCATTACTTGTTTGGGGTTGGCATTGTATTCCTTTGCATTACAGTTTGCAACAGGGACAGGAGTCTCATCTGTAATAAAATAAACAAAAGAAATAAGAAAATATATACATTAATTTTTTTATATATTAAATGACACGTCACTGCAGCTGTTACAAAAGAGATTCATTTACCAAAGTCTTGCAGCAGCTTTAGAAAATTAGGTTTGCCCTCCTCCGTCACCCATTGTTTTCTACAGTTCCACTCCTCCGTGAACTTTCTTGAAAACATACATGGGTGATTAGGTAGCAAATATTTCTTGAAAAACTTCGAATAGCTCAGGTCCTTGTCGATGTAGTCCACAAAATGCGAAGACCAAAACAGCTCATAGGACTGACTTGGTATTTTGACCAAGCTGCAGCAGTTGCGATATGCCTCCCTGTCCATGGTGGTAAACACGGCTAGCCGGTTAGCAAGCTTCACCCTCACGGTTTAAACAGCAGGGAACTGACATGGAGAGCAAGCGGTGAGATTCAACTAGCATTACTATGTGTCTACATTCATTTTCCGTCCAAGTTAATTTCAAATTTACCGATTTTTGTTTATATTTTTCCTACCACGAAAACAGGTCGCCATAACTGCTACAAGCTATATATGGTTCCTAAACATCGCAAACGATACCGTTACTATTTGTAATTGCAACATACGTTTATTTTTGTTCATGTGATCATACTGCGTTTACTTTTTTTTTTTCTCCCAAAACCACCCCCATTAACGATAAAAAAAATTTCCTCAAACCCTTTTTAAGTGTTTTGTGTAACCGGCATACATTTTCCATCGGACAGTAAATACATCCGTACCAGTGACGTAATCTTAGGTGTTTCGCGAAAGTGATTATGCCTGAACAAATATGTGCCCGCTGACTCGGGAGCGCGCACAATGAAGTAAACCTTAAAATGACAACACGTTTGTTAGTTTACTGTACTATGAGTATGATTTTGTTGTTGATTTGGTGGATCATAGCTTTTATGATTTTATTAGTCTCATTTAAATTTATTTATCCTGTTTTAAGCGCGCTCCCGAGACAGGGGACGCAATTTTTTTCGAGTGCAACAATTCTTTCGCAACACCGGTTCGTTTCCGGAAGTAGTTTTTTTTTCCTGCGTTGAAGCGGCATTTCCGCAAACACAAACGCATGTAAAATACCAAATATTTTAAACGCCAATCAAAGTACATTTTATATATTCGAGTACAATGATTTACCATCGTGTTTGAGAACCATAAATACGATTGTGCGCGCCCTCCTTCCGTCTTTCTTTGTCTGCAGTGAAAAGTGATGGCAAGGTTCGTCTGCATATCCTTTACTTTTTACTCTGATGTTCAAATGTTTACTTATTTTTAATCTTACGTGTACCCCTTATTACCCCACTAACTTAAAAAATAAAAACATAAATAAAACCAGTTCTCGTTTAAGATTATCTGGTACACGTTGAGCCAGCTAACTCGAGTGTGACATCACATCCGTAATAAACATCACAGATACCAAGACGGAGACTTATCCCAGTGTTAAAGATGTATGCGGGAAACATACTTTTTATAACAAGAAATCGTAGTCGATAATAGGATTATAAACTTAAAATAATGTCTTTGTGATGCGGACAAAGTGTCTCATCTAACTGAACGCCTCTTTGAGCTGCCTGGATTTACTCTGAAGAAAGTATGTTCACTGTCATAATCAGCTCTAATGTAACTGCATTCACACTCAATTTCATCTGCCGTACTTCAAGGTCAAATGTTTCTTTTTTGTCAGATGAGCCGGGACGTTTCCATCCACAACTGGCCTGGCTCCTATTATTTAAACACCGAGAAGCGGTGGGAGAGTGGAACCCTGTCCCTCACCAGGACCATGGTGCGCTTTGTCTCAAGCCAGAGCAAGGAGTGTCTCGCCAGCTTCCGTCTGTCCTGTATCGTAGAGATCAAGATGGAGTCGTCCAGTTTCATCTTCAGCACCCTCACTGTGCTCGAGCAGGGTAACGTGAAGCACTGGTTCGGTTCCCTCAAGCCCAACCGGGTGGTGGTTTATAATGTGTTGGAGCATTTCTGGAGAGAGCGCCTTCTGTCTCCCACCTCAGAGGCGAGAGGGGCTGAGTGTCAGCCTTCTAAGGGGAGAGAGCTGATCAGCCTGGTGGCAGGAGCCCAGAGAAGACTAGAAGACACAGGCAGGGTCCTCAGCCACCAGGGAGAGCAGTTTGACAACATGATGCAGGGACTGGAGACGATAGACTCGGATCTAGGCGTGGCTGATAAGTAATTATTCGGAGCTTGTCGTAATTCTTTAATGAGCTGCATGTATTATTTTTTAAAAGTTCAGGAAAAAATAATAGCCCATAACTATTCTGTTTTACAGGCTTCTGTCAGCTCTTGAGTCTCCGTCCTGGTGGCCTTTTGGCAAACTCCCCTGGAAGGTTCAGCAAGAGGTCAAGGCCGAAGACGCAGCCAAGGCTGCTGCTACCCTCTCAGCAGGCAAGAGCTCCAGTAGAAATAAGGTGATCACAAGCATTCCAGTGGTGGTGTCCAAAGGTGGGGACTCAGACTTGAGGCCTGGATGTTTGCTGGTGCTGGTATCCTCACTGGAGGTGCGAGACACAAACTGCCAACTCCTTCACCGGTTTGAACGGAACGAAATCGACGAAATCAGGGCGCACAGTCCCTATGAGATCACGGTTAGACAGCGATTCATCGGGAAACCAGATATATGCTACAAGTTTCTGTCTGCAAAGATGCCCGAGGCAATATCCGTGTTGGAAATGCAATACAAGAAGAAGATGGAGTTTACAAGCGAATACACGGCTTTCAAAGCAACTCCGCTTTCATCTCCTTGTGACAAAGAAGGAACAAACTGGAATGAGGGTAAGGAACGGATCAGATGAATAAAGATTTTAATGCTTTTTCGTGCCCATGCTTGGTTTAAGTTTGACCACTGAGTGGCAGTAAAGAACTACGAATCCATCTCGAGAAGTTTCTAAGTGCTTCCACATGTAAAAACATTTCATCATGGTTATTGGTGTTTCTCTTTAGCAGACATGTGTTTTGATGAGTCACTTCATCCTGATTGCCTCAGTTGCTGTATTTTGAGTTTACTGTCTGGTTTCCTTATAAACAACGTACTGTATGCCTTCTGCTCTTTTTCACCATCTCCACCCACGGAATCAGGTTCGCTGCGGATGGGCCAAGAGCCTGAGCTCCCACTGGAGGTCCCAGCAGGAGAGCTTTCCCAGTTGCAGGTGCAAGTCCTCCAGCCGTCCGTCAGTCAGGCTGAGGCCCAGGAACTCAAGCAGGTGAGAAACTTGGATTTCCATGGCCGGTTTAAAAATATAGCGATTCTACTGAGGCATTAAGAAGTTTCACATGCATAAACATAAGACAGGTGGCGCAAATAAACGGCCTGCATACGCCTGCTGTAGGTCATCGTGAACAATGATAGCCGTTGTAAATACACCTAAAGCTACAGCACTGCGTTTTGATATTTCCGTTTCAGAACCACAATTTTTTCGTAATTTTTTTTTTTTGTTTTTTTTGTTGATGTTGTTATTTTCACCCTGCGTTTAAAATTTTATGAGACCACAAACCCAAGTCCATCCTGGGTTTAAGAGAGGAAAAGAAACATGGACAGTTGTTTGGTCAGGCCTTTCCATTCAGGATCTCACAGTACTGAGAGCTGTTACAGACACGGTTTGTGGTGGCACGACCTAAACACTGACGCAAGTTCAGACACCTGATTTAAACAGACTTTATGTTTGTGAATCTCTGTTTGACGTTATGTAGACCACATTTATATATATATATATATATATATATATATATATATATATATATATATATAAATATATAAATAAATAAATAAATCAACTTTGCTGCATCCTCTGTGTCTTTTCTTTATTTTTTTTGTCTAACTGAGAAGAAAACATTAGTCGTGTGTCATTAGAAAACAATAGGTAATTAAGCTAAAACATGTCGCTACTATTGAACAAATAGCTGTGAAAAACTCATCTTTGGTGAGAATAATCTAACTTACTAACTAGGCCTGTCGCAATAAACAATAAATCAATAAATCAATTAATCGCACGATAAATGAAAATTATCTACCTTATTTTCATTTATCGGCTTTATCGTTTCTTCATGTCTCTCTTTCTACTGAAGACACTGGATGACAAAAGGCTCAACTCCGGTGATCTTCACTGGCCCCTCCCTTTCTCTTTAAAATTTGTTTCAACCATCTAAAATTGTGTTTTGGGATTATTAAAAGCAGCTAAGCTGAGAAGCTAAGCTGACAGGCTTAACTCGGGGAAAAAACCTCTGTCTTGTCGAAGATTCCAAATTCACCCGTGCCTTCGTCTAAAAAGTTGTTTCTCTGCAAAAAGAAGCCGATAAATTGTTTACTCTTTTTTTTATTAAAAGCTTTGTGTGAAAAGTGCTATGCTAAAGCGCTCAAACCACACTGAGCGTCCACCATTTTGAGAACAGAAAAAAGTGAGAGACAGCCCATGCCACGTCAAGGGGCCTCACTCCCATTTTTCTTAGAGACACGCTGCTCGCTCACTCACTATCCATCCTTCAGTTCAAACAATCTTATACTGCCATCTGGTGGTCGAAAAAAGGTACTACACTCAAAATAACCAACATTTCTTCTTAAATTTGACAATTACTAATTATTGTCCAATTTTGAACAATTTTATCGTTTATCGCAATAATTTCTGAGACAATTAATCGCCATCAAAATTTGCCAGCATGACAAGCCTGTTAGTAACAGTTCACACCTGTTGTGTATTTTTTTTTAATATCTCATAATTCTTAAATTACCTCACTGATGCACAAAACTTTTGGATTTTTAGTCTATATATTATTCTGCTTATAGTAGTTGAAATGTGGCTTTTTTTAGCCAGATTAGAGCCCCAGTGAACTGCAGCATTAAGTCCGTCATGTCTTCCCAGTTTAAACTGTGAAGTCACAGACCAGCATGAGTGAAAGCAGTTGCTATTTTTTGGTGTGCATTGACGCTATCTGGTTTTCAAACTGCTGCCGGCTGTTTTCCGGGCTCGGCTGAAATGCCCACAGAAAGCAGAAACCTGACATAATGTCAGCTGCTGTGTGAGCAGGGTTTGTATGAGCATCTTTGGCAAAATTCTGGTTTAGAAACCAGGGTGGTGGGGTTTGAAGTGAGTGTTTATTAGGTTTTGCTTGGCCCACTGCAGTGTGTTTAAGCTGTCACATTAACCATAACAACCACGGTTGTTAGACCCTGAACATGGAGTCACAATATAAACCAATAGAAAGTTAAAAAAAAACAGCAGTATTGTTTATCAGTGGCCAAGGGGGCAAGCTAAGACCTATTTTGTGGTGTGTTCTCGAGTTTCATTTCCTGAATATTATGACATTATCACTTCTCACACACTGCATCACTGATCTCCAGACACTAGGCAGCAGTGAGGTGTTGTTTTTGTATGAAAAATGCAAAACAAGAGTCTAAATGAAACATAAAGCTCCATTTTTCTAACTTGTATATGTTTCAACACAATGATCCATATTGTGTACCTCTTTAACACATGGTCCACATGTTGCATCCTGAATTTGCTCACTGCTCTGCTGAAGTTTTGATAATTAATCATTTTTATGTTTGTCTTGTTGCTTAGCTACGCCTCTTTTCTGGGGTTTAAAGTAATGATTGAAACTAATGGGTGTCCCTTTTTTCCCTGCATTGTGTTATGTTTGTGAGTAGATGCTGTTACAGTTAAAGCATCTTGCGCTGGAGGCGGAGTCAGAGCTGGAGCGGCAAGATGAAGTTCTGGACGTTCTGACGAACTCGGCGGACCGAACCACCATGCAGATAGGAAAGCACACAAACCGTATGAAAAGACTGCTGTAATCCTGACACTAGAGGAGATGCATGTCACTCTGTGCTTCTTCATCATGGGACTTGTGCAGGCTCATGAAGGACTTTTCCATTTAGATTGTTTTTTTAGCTTCTTAAAAAAAGGGTGCGACACCTGTATGTCTTGAACTGTAGCCATTGTCAGCATTGCATTTGTTTGGTACGGGCAAAACAACCGTTTAGAAGGTTATACGCATGCACACCTAACTTCATTCAGACGCATTGCTATAGAGGAGGATAATCGGGGAGGATAAAATAAGCACTCCAGAATGTTAAAAGTAACAAACGGACAGATAAAGTTAACATAGCAGTTACACCTTTGTCTCAGTTTCTTAGTTTAATTGTGACTCTTATCCTCTGGATTTGGTTTATACGTGGTTAATATTGCATGAGTTCATATATTGTAGTTTATGGACTATAAGGCGCAGTATCAATGAACGGGTCTGTTTTCATACATAAGGTGCATTAAGCGAAACAAAACAGTCAGATAAGTCAAACTTTATTCAACTCATTCACCAGAACGCTCAACATTGTTCTGTTGTAACACATAAAGTACAAAACAATACACTCAATACAAAATACACATTTTTGAGCACCGTGTACCACATAAAATCAGTTTGAGGTCAGTAAGCACAACCAGAATTAATACATAAGGTGCACTATGGATTTTAGAGAAAATTAAAGGATTTTAAGTGCGCCTTATAGTCCGAAAAATACGGTAACTGGTCATTACAGTATCAACAAAAAATTTAATAGGATTCCTCATGTAGCTACAGCTAAATACTATTTAAGAAGCAAAGTTTTGAGTATAAGAGAGAAAGCACATCTCCACTTTATGAATTATCTCGTGCATACGACTTGTTAAAGTTGATAGTCTATTATTTTACTGTTATTCTGAATTACACACTTACTGTAATTGTGTTATTTGAGTGGGTTATTCGTTTTTATTGACCTAAAGCTGTAAATTAGCAAGTATTTAAGCTTTATTTTGCCAGGAAAGTCCCACTGAGATAAATCATTCTTTCTCCCAAGGAGTCCTGACCAGTTGGCAAATTTAGGGTTTAGACTTTATTTTATTAACACTAAGACTTCTTTGTTCCTTCTTTCATTGGTTTAAAAAAATATGATGGAATTTGCTTGAGAGGAACATATGTTGGGTTGGATTGTCATCCAGGTCACAGTGAACGAAGGTAACTGGACTTTTTTATTTCTTCAAGATGTTTTGCTTCTCATCCAAGGAGCCGTAAACAACTCTTAAAATAAAGCTGAATGGACGAGAAGCAAAACGTGCTCCAGTTGCCTTCAACTTAACTAGCCAGTGTGTGTATGTGTGTGTTTTTATGTAGTGTGGGGAAGTTTACCTGGGCTTGATTTGAGACTGAATAAAGCATGCCATAAATAGTTATAAAAGCAATGCATCGGGTATATTATGCACCTGTACCAACGTCCAACATAATCTACTCACTTATGCTGTAAACATTTGTGTGTGTGCTTGGCTGTGAGCAAATTCTGAGCTTTTAAAAAGGGAAAGTTCCTTTTTTAGTCCAATACTGCACTGAATGAACGTTTTTATTTTAACAGCAAGTTGTTAGAGTTTCAAATTTGTAACATTCCAACATGTGCAATAAAATCATACAGTTAGTTAAATGTTTATTTTGTTGTTTTTTATTATAGTTTTTGGATCAATGGACTGTAATTGATCTTTGCAGAGCTGTGTAATCAGTTTTCAGCTAGTTGAAGTTCATGACAAAGTGATCATTTACTGCATTTATGGACAGGGTTGAGCGTAGTGCAAAATGTGGTCAATAAACGTTTGAAGCTTTTAGCTGATAAATAAAACCCAGGTTTCAAGATTGCATTCGTTTTGATCATGAAGGGAAACGGGTTGCCGTTGCCGTACGTTTGTTTTATTTGTATGTGCAGAAAACCATATGCTTTTGAAGTTATGTTATGTTGTTTATTTGCCATATGCAGGTTAACCCGAGGTCAACAGTCCAATGAAATGTTCAGGATGAGAAGAACCGATTCGACTCGCTAAAAACAACAACAACAAGAAATACTAAAGCATTCAATAAGGGTACAAAATAAAGTACCAAAAAGTGAAACAGAAATATAATATTTACAAGGTCCAAAAGAAAAATAGTAAACAACAACATGGTAGAATATAACTGTGCAAATAATATGAATTTGTATAAGTAAGTATTTCACAGGTAGTATATGAGCTTAAATGCACATGATATAGCACATAACTAACATAAATTACACATGTGTGACAGGTTATTGCACAGGTAGTGAGTGATATTGAGATTAACTGAATTATGATGGTAAAGTAGTGACATACATGATATATGGCATGAAATATAACATACATGATACAGCCACATAGTGCAGCAACAATAAACCTATTAGTGTCACAGATGTGGCTTAGTGCAATGTTAATGTCGATTATTCAGTGTTATTATCAAGAGTTCAATAATCTGACAGCTTGTGGATAATAACTGTCCTTTAGTCTTTTTGTACACAATGACAGACTACCGTATCGTCTGCCTGAGAGTAGTAGACGGAAAAGTCCTTGTGCAGGGTGGGTGTGGTCCTTAATGATGCTGCGTGCTTTACGCAGACATCGGCTGTGGTAGATGTCCTGGATGGTGTGGAGACTGCTACCAGTGATGTCCTCTGCTGTTTGCACCACCCTCTGTAGTGCTTTCCAGCTCTGACCGGTGCAGTTCCCGTACCACCCTGTGATGCAGCCTGTCAGCAGACTCTCAGTGGTGCATCTATAAAAGTTGGTGAGGATGCTGGTGTTTGTACCAAACTTCTTTAGTCTTCTTTTGCTGGTACATTCTGGAGCAGAAAATACCATAAAGACAGCGTTCAGTACTGTGGTACACGTCTGTACACAACCACATTATGTTGTCATGTCACTAATTTACACTCATGTAAAATGTTGTCCTAAAACTGAGCAATGATGAAACATCAAATACAATTTTTATTTTTTTCTTATTTTTTTTGTTACATGGGTATAATGTCATGTGGCCCCTGCTTTAGATATGCAATATTTTATTTTATATAGTGGGGTCTGAGCTTTAATCCAGATGGCTTTTCTACTTTTTTTTTCTAGCTGCTACAAGATTACTGATGTTTTCAATTAGTTAGCATGTTAAATGTGGTCTTTGTAACATCTATTGTAGCAGGATCAACTATAAACATGGTTTTAAATACGTTAGCAGGTGTTTATATTTTGTCAATCTGATAGCTTATCAAATAAGCTAAAATTTATAATTCTTTGTGTAGTAATTAATTTAAAATCAAAGACTTGGTTGATTCTCTGTGGTTGTTATTAGTATAGAGGTTTGCACCCCCAAACGCTGGAAATTGATGCATGCTAGTTTGTGTACATTTTGGGATAGATTTTAAATTTAAACTGCTTTTATTGAAATTTTGAGTTTTGCTCTCACAAAAGGCAAAAATGACATTTCTTCCTTTCTCTTCTAGTCAAACTAAAATCGGCCCCTTGACCTTGTCAGTCTGCTGTCACCAGAGAGAAGGATCACTTAAAACTAAAATAAAATAAAAAAAAATCCACCAGCTTTAATTTGGCAATTGGCTGCGTATTTAATAATAAATCAGGTAGAAGACTTGCATAAAGAAGTTTTAAGAGAACGACAGTCTCATTCGACAGTCTGCTCCCAGTTGGCGTAAACTCACAGAGCCCAACTCAAAACAGTTGCCTCTGTGTTGCATTAAAAATCTTTCTTCTTGCGCGGACGAAGATGTTTTCATTGTGGTCCATTTATTTTGTTGATTTCTCCGATAAACAGTCGAATGTTTGGAAGTTCCAAACTTCAGAAGCACAACACATGGTTATGTGAATTCCCAAACCTTTGAAAAAATGGGCGTGGCTAAGGAAATGGAGTACTCACTGGCGTGGTTTTTGAAGCAGCCTCGCAACACGAGGAAGTGGTAGCGGTTCTTGTCTGACCACAGATACATGAGATCCGGCTTTGCCTTCTAAACGGATGGTATGGAGACACGGGATTTTGTTGGCCTTGACTCCGAAGTCTGTTTATGTGATAGTTCTGTGGCGAGCGCTTTCATACACGAAGCGTGTCTCCACTGATGGCCAATCAATCAACTCTTGCAGGAAAAGAAGCAGCCTGAGTCTGTGGGCAAAGAGGGCACACGGGTTGAACTGCACTCCCAAACATGAAGAAGCAGGCTGGATTTGTCATCTGTGGGAATGAGAAATCTAAAAATTATTATTTTTTTTTTCATTTATTAATGTGCATTTACAAATTATGCAGTGCATTTTTACACACCTGATTCTGTGAGTGTGTTGCTGCAGACCTAGATTACATTACTGAATAATTATGGACAGAATCTCACTTCAGCTGCCCTGTTTGACTACGTCTGATTTAACATCCTGATTCTTGACTCACTGCCTGGACAGACTCTTACTATTGCAGGTGCTGCTGAGTTTTCTTTTGCTGAGGGAGTTTCTGGTTTCAGGAAACACGTTTTTTTTTGTTGTTGTTAATGTTAGGACTGGGAGAATTTGTTCCTGGAAGGAAGGTGGCTGAGGCTTACCAGGGGGTGTATGTGTTGCCTCAAAAAATGAAATGATGCTAAACAAAAACTTTTTTTTGTTGTTGTCTCTGGTTATAAGTATGGGAGCATTTTCTTTTCTATTTTTGTCAAAGCATTATCGTATAGGTCTAAGATAACCTGTGGATTTACAGTGTATTTCATAATTTTTATTATTCATAATTTAAAAATGCATTGTATTTTTGTAGTTTTGATATTATCATCCTGTCGTGTCGGCTGTTATGGTACTTTCCCAGATGCTGAGCTGCATGCTGATATCATGTGCTGCATGTTATCTTTTCCTTGGTCTTCGGTTTTCTGGTTTTTGTTTCACAAACCTTTAACATTTCTCTTTGACCAAATTCACATTTCAGCAGCCACACTACTTGGCTGTTGTTTTGCACAGTAGTATCTGTCTCAAAAAGGTGAAATCCAACATCACATCCTACCTGAACTCTGCAGATAGACTTGCTTTTCTTCGAGGCTCAATGGGATCATTAACCTGTCTAAGTAAAAGTTGAATGAATTGAACTGCTGGTTAACTTGCATGCTATTATTTCAAGTTAAACCTGCGAGTATGGTTCAGCAGAAAACGAATGCTATTATAAGTAATTCACACATTTTAATCCACAAATCCAGGGGAAGGTATGCATTTCCATGGTTCAGTAGAGGGCAGCAGCAAGTGTTATGACTCGGGGA